TAATTATTTTCTAGATTATTTTCAAATAATCTTTTTTTTTTTTTTTTAGTTAAACCAGAAGAAGGAAAATAAAACTAAGCACTTTTTTTTTTTTTTTTTGAGACAGAGTCTCACTTTGTTGCCCAGGCTGGAGTGAGTGCAATGGCGTCAGCCTAGCTCACAGCAACCTCAAACTCCTGGGCTCAAGCAATCCTACTTACTGCCTCAGCTTCCCAAGTAGCTGGGACTACGGGCATGCGCCACCATGCCTGGCTAATTTTTTTCTATATATATTAGTTATATTAATAGATATAATTAATATATTTCTATTTATAGTAGAGATGGGGTCTCACTCTTGCTCAGGCTGGTTTTGAACTCCTGACCTTGGCAATCCACCTGCCTCGGCCTCCCAGAGTGCTAGGATTACAGGCGTGAGCCACCGCGCCCAGCCTAAGCACTTTTAATATATATTACATGCTAGTATATTTTATACAAAGCAGGGCTACTGACTTTCTCCTTTAAGTTTACATAATATAAACATGACTTAATTTCACCTCTTGACTAAGACCTTAATACATATTTTAAATTTTTAATTTACACTTTGGTATTAACACCAGACTATAAAAACAAAAGAATGTTCCATAGGAAAAATGGCCCAATATCATCGGATGTCTTCCTTTATCATATTTTAGATATATAGAATCTTCCCCTAAAAGGTCATGCAGTCTTAACTGGGGTAACCACATAATTTTTCTTCTAAACTAGGATACTTTTGAGCATGAAAGAGGGCACTATCAATAATTATCCCAGGACAACCAGAATAACTAAGGTTGGCTACCCTAGTCTTAAGAGATAAAACATCACCTACTAGGTAATTGTGTGATTCGATATATGGGTGCCAGAGCCATTCACATCTTTCAGAAGTTTTGAGACCCTTGGAAGAAGGCACAAATAGAATTTAAAACATCACATAACATAACATTTGTTCAAAGCTTCAAGAAAGATCAAATAAACTTACGGGGGGGGGGGGTAGAGCTTAAAAGTAATTGCCTCAAAGCCCTCCTAGATTCTTCAAAGTCTAATTATTCCTCCATGCTCCCTTAACTGGTCTCTTATGTCTCCATATAACCTTTCATTCTGCTTTATTATTGTTAAACTATAAGATGCTTTGGGATAGGTATGATCTTGACTATGTACTAGTGCTATGCCCACAATCGAGGTTGCTGAATGTGGAGAATCTATAATTTATAGATACAATGGGGTAAAAAGAGAATACTCTGGGCTAAATATTTCTATCAGAATAAATCAACCTTTCAAAAACTTTGGTAACCAGGTTCTCTTATATTCCCCAAAAAGTCCTATTAAGTCAATTTACATTTATGAAATAGTAATAAGAATTTCCAGCTATAAAATGTCTTCCCTAAAATCAGGTTTTAAGGTTTCTACCCTTACATTCATGGCATAAACTATGGGCAGGGGGCGGGGGGGAGGGAGGGATTGCAAAGGACCATTGCTCATGTTCTAGATATGTACCAAAACATATCGCATTGGTTCTACATCTTTATCTTTCCTGTGGTTGGTCTATACTTTATTGGGGCCTTTTTGTGTAAACTTTCCAAGCAGTTATGGTATAAAACAAGTTAAAAAAAAAAACTCAAATACTCTAGTCTTTTTCACACATACTCCTTTACAAGACAGATGATATCTTGCACTTATTGCAGCACCTCACACCTGTGTTCTCAAGGCAAATAATCAAGAATCTACTATGTTTTTGACACTATTTAAGAACTGTAGTGGCATGGAGAAAATGGGGGGATGTTGATGAAAGGGTACAAACACTCAGTTATAAGACGAATGAGTTCTAGAGAGTTAATGTAAAGCATGGTAACTATAGTTATAATAATGTAATTGTATGCTTGAAATTTGCTAAGAGAGTAGATCTTAAGTATTCTCACCATGCACACACACAAAACGTAACTATGTCAGATGATAGATTTGTTAATTAGCTCGACTGTGGAAATAATTTCACAAGGTGTACTTATACCAAAACACTATGTTACATACTTTAAATATATATAATTTGTTAATCATACCTCAATTTCAAAAAATTAAAAGAACTGTAGTGGCCATGGTCCAATATGGGGGAACAATGTTGACAACTACAGTATAAGGCAATGTTTCTTAAGTTTTAATGGACATCAAAATTATAATAGTTGGAGGGCCAAGCACGGTGGCTTGAAGTGGCTGAGGCAGGAGGATTGCTTGAACTCAGGAGTTCCAGGCCATAGTGCACTATGCCAATTGGGTGTCCACACTAAGTTCAGCATCGATATGGTAACCTCCTGGGAGCAGGGGACCACCAGGTCGCCTAAGGAGGAATGAACCAGCACAGGTCAGAAACAAAGCAGGTCAAAACTCCAGTGCTGATCAGTAGTGGGATTGTGCCTATGAGTAGGCACTGTACTCCGGCTTAGGCAACAAAGTGAGACCTTGTCTCTAAAACTAAAAAAAATTGTTATATCACTTAGAGGGCTTGTCAAAACACAGATTGTAGGGCACCTCACCCCCAAGAGTTTCTGATTCAGTAGATCTGTAATAAGGCCGAAGAATTTACATTTCCTCAAATCTCCAGGTGATGCTGAGCTGCTGGTCTGGGTATGACACTTTGAAAACCACTGGTATAAGGGACAGTTTAAGTGCTGGGAAGGTCGGAGCATGGAGGGAGGTTGCAAGAAAATGTAAGGACTTAATCCCAGATACAGTTCAGAAGACAGCTTCACAAAGAAAATGATCTTGGATTTAAACATTTGACATTCCTTAAAATAACAGATCCAAAGAATAGCAGTATTGGAATTTTAGAACTGTTCTATGCAAGGCCAGTCCTTTTATATAATTTTTAGTAGGTAAAGTTTCTTTAGCATAATTCTGCTATTCTACCATCTTTTTTTTTTTTTTTTTTTTGAGACAGAGTCTCGCTTTCTTGCCTAGGCTAGAGTGAGTGCCGTGGCATCAGCCTAGCTCACAGCAACCTCAAACTCCTGGGCTCAAGTGATCCTCCTGCCTCAGCCTCTCGAGTAGCTGGACTACAGGCATGCGCCACCATGCCGGCTGATTTTTTTTTTTTTTTTTTTTTTTTTGGACAGAGTCTCACTTTTGTTGTCAGGCTAGAGTGAGTGCCGTGGCGTCAGCCTAGCTCACAGCAACCTCAAACTCCTGGGCTCGAGTGATCTTTGCCTTCAGCTCTCAGAAGTAGCTGGACTACAGCATGTGCCATATGCCCGGTAATTTTATATATATTATATCAGTTGGCCAATTAATTTCTTTCTGTTTATAGTAGAGACGGTCTCGCTCTTGCTCAGCTGGTTTTGAACTCTGACCTTGAGCAATCGCCCGCCTCGGCCTCCCAAGAGCTAGGATTACAGGCGTGAGCCACGCGCCCGGCCTGATTTTTATTGTTATATATTAGTTGGCCAATTAATTTCTTTCTATTTATAGTAGAGACAGGGTCTCACTCTTGCTCAGGCTGGTTTCGAACTCCTGACCTTGAGTGATCCACCCGCCTCAGCCTCCCAGAGAGCTAGGATTACAGGCATGAGCCACCGCGCCCAGCCTATTCTACCATCTTTTCAACAATCTTTTAAGATGGTTCCATTTCCTTGCCTATCTGTTCATTAAATCTTTAAAAGTGATATTAACACTGGTTTGCAAATTTTGGCTTATAATTTACATCTTAGATGCCAGCACCAGAAAGGATGTGAGGAGCTATTTGTTGCTAAGTCCTGGAGAAAAGAACAACTATAGGTCAAAGAAAAACACAGAGAACAGATTTTCCAGTATACTAGTAATTATTAGAGGTAATGTGGTGGCTCACCCCTGTAATCCTAGCACTCTAGGAGGCCGAGGTGGTAGGATCGCTTGAGGTTAGGTGTTCAAGACCAGCCTGAGCAAGAATGAGACCCTGTATCTACAAAAAATAGAAAAAGTAGCTAGGTGTGGTGGCATGTGCCTGCAGTTCCAGCTAGTTGGGAGGCTGAGGCTATGATGATGCCACCACATTCTAACTGAAGCAACAGAGCAAGACCCTATCTCAAAAAAAAAAAGGGGGGGGGCTTACAGAGTAATATAATCTATAAAACTTACATATTAGGACACAGAAAAAAATCTAACTTGTAGACAAAAAATATTACTCATTTTTTTGCCCATTCCATATCTTACGCTGAATGTTGGATATTCTAGGCAAGTTCCCACCAGCAATTCTTTTTTAAACATAAATTCATTTTCATTGGCTCCCACCACCTCTCTCTGCTACTTTGCCTGAACAATTGTAACCAACCCCAAATTTTTACCCTCCTGTAAAACAATATTTCCAAATCTAACCTCACCAATAAGAAATCTATTATGTTCTCTATAGATCCCTCATTTTGAAAGATCTGCAACCACATTTATTGAATAATTTTTCTATTTTTAATTATATGCTTAACTACCAATCAGAAACCATAATTAGATGAGAGAACCAGAACTTAATTGACAAAATGTAAGCCAGAAACAAAGAAATATAATACTTTAGTCATTTGTTGGACAAAAGTTTGTTATTAGGATTTCTGAAACACTAAAAGTTTCTAAAGAATCTGAAGGACTACAAGAATTCTTCAATTCTAAGAGCTCATAAAACTCTAACAAAGGGTTTTTTTCAATCACTAGCTTGCAGATCTATCTAATCATTAGCCCAGAGATTTTATATTTAATAATTAACTCTAAAACTATGATCTAAATTTAGGTATAAACACTAGTATATGCACAGATAGAAACAGTAAGGATTAGATTGAGTTTAGAGTATTAATTCCCACTAGCTCCTAGAATGTCCCTTGTGTAAATGCTTTGGTCTCATTGCTTTTTCCTTTTCAAATATAATCAACCTGGCTGGAAAACCAGTCTGAAAGAAAGCTCAGCAGGGATGTCAGATAAAGCAAGAAATGTATGCTTTGGGAAGGAATGAACAAAGCACTTAAGAATACAAAGAATAGATGTGTGGTGCATTTTTATTTCAAAATCACAATTGAAAGACAGGTTTGGTTTTTGTTTGTTTAAAAGTTGGTGAGCTTGTTCAGTGGTGCTAAATGAAATAGCTTTATCCGTTGAGGATCCTGTCACCCTGACAAAGCATTACTGAATGCAGTGAAGCCTGACTTTGGATTCTGGTTTGGTAACCACTTCCCACCCTTCCAAGCTTTTAGCTCTTTCTTCCTTAGAAATTTCGACCTGTAGGTATCTGAATAAAAAGTACATAGGGTCATAGTATTAATAACAGTGTCAACAATTGCACCAGATCACTGCAATGTAGAGCCTGAAAAATCATATTTCTGTTTTATTTTTCTTCAGGTTAAACAATAGAAATTTATTTTCTCATAGTTCCAGACTAGAGACTAGAAGTCTAAAATCAAAGTTTCAGCAAGGTTAGTTCTCTCTGAGGCCTCTCTCCTTGACTGGGAGGTGGTTGTCTCTTCTCCGTGTCTTTACATAATCTTCCCCTTGTGTGTGTCCACATTTCTGTTTTCAATCACATTGGCCCCATCAGTCTGCATAAATGATACTGTAACAAATTCAGACGTTTAGGATTTCATAAAAACTATTTTAAAATATTTCCTAACAATCTAAAACTGCTTTGCCAAAACAGCAGTTTATTCTAAAATGCTTTGTGCTAAGCTTGCAATGAAGCTTTCATTCTTAGCAATTTTCTTTCAGGAAGCACTTTAACAGTTTGCTCCTCCTTCATATGAATCATCCAGGCCACTGAGGTTCAAGAATAGCTTTTATAAATTGAAAACAGTGCCTAGGTCAGTGGTTTTCAGCCCTGGCTGCACATTAAAATTATCTGGGTAGATTTTTAAAATAACTGTGCCTGGCTCTTTCTAATTAATTGGTTTGGGATGGGAACTTGGCATTGTGTGTCTTAAAAGTTCTCCAGATGAGTCTAAGGTGCAGACAAGATTAAGAACCACTAACCTACAACAAGAATGGCTTGAGCCCGGATTCCATCAACACCTATTTCTTTTTAGTGTCTTAATCTGAACCAACAGCTGTGAAACACACTACATTCAGCTTAAGGACTGCTAACTGGAAAAAACATACCAAACAAAAGAGATAATTATTTGTTTTCAAATTATTCAAATAAAAACAAAATGTCCCACCCCCCCCCCTGTGATCCTTTTCACTAAAGCTATCTTCAGCTTTTGCTGTCAGGATAGGTTCTCTCAAATCATAACCTCTAAACTACTGAAATGTTGCAGAAATCCCAGTATTCGGCACCCAAACTGATCTCTGAGACTGCCTTCTACACCTTGGACAGCACAGAATTTTTTGTCATATCTTTTACTTTTTAATTTGGAAAACTATCACCAGATCTACCTGTGGTGTCAACACCTTCCTATTTTTCTGTCTAACCTTTAGAGGCCCCAGTCCCTTTTCTCCATAATGCTTTCTTGGGTCATTTCAGGCTCCATTGTTTTCTTCCTTATAGAAATTTACAGCCTTTATCACCTTTTTTTGGCATCTGTTGTACTGCCATGTAACCTTTCAACCACTTTAGGACTTGTTTTTCTAAACATTTTGGGGATAAGAATTGCTGTTTATACTTTTTTTTGGTATCTCTGTTTTCAGAACAAAGGCTCACAGTTGTGAGCCTCATTAACAAGTTGTAACTTTCCAGACCTCTTGTCCTCTCCGAATGTTCACTGAGCTCTCTCCCCAACTCTAAAACACCCTCAGATTCTATTACTGCCTTTTGAATTTGGGGGTTTTACAACACATGCTAAACATTAAACAGCTTGACACAAAATTGGTGATTTTTTTGGCTGTTCTGTCCATCTCCTTCCTAGTTCCTCGTCTCTCCCCTCAAAATCGAAATTACCTTTCTAGCCTGACAACTTACACAAACAAGGCTTCTTTCCAGGGAGCTGCCCGCCTCTAACCAGTTCTGTTCCTTCAAGTGCCCATTTCTAAGTGCTCTTTGGCTTTTCTAAGATGGCCGCCACGAAGCCCAGCGAAGGACGTGCGAGTTCCACTCCTGCAAGGCCACTACAGTTCTGCGGACCAGAGAAAGGAGGACTAAAAAAGGATGAGCCTGAGGAGACGACCCCCGCAGGTAAACGCCCAAAGAGCAAGGGCCAAAGGTGCCCACCGAACGGTTCCCAGTCCCACACTTAGCGCCTGCTCGTCACAGGAAGTGGGGGGCCCCCCACCCCCCGCCTCCCGCCGTCAGGCGCCGGAAGTGAGCGTTGCTGAGGCTCGGATGTGGGGCGAAGGCGAAGGCGACTGTGGGGAGAGTGTGTCTCCACCGAGGTAGGAAAGGCAGCGCGGCTCTGGCTTGGCGCCTCCAAACAGTTCACCTTTGGGGTTCTGAGATAATTTAGCCACCTAATAGCTTCTCTTTTCCCTTTTCTGCCCGTCACCTTCGGCCTTGTTGGCCCACAACGTAGCTCTTTTGGCTACCGACCGGTTCCGCTCCGTCGTCCACTCGAGGGCCTCCCTAGCGCATTTTGTACCTTCTCTTTAAATTAACCACCTTCCCCACCTTCTCCTATTTAGTCTCATTGCTTAAATGTACTCGGTTTTCTTCTGTTTGTTTGTTTAAAGGAAGAAAAATGATTCTTTTACTGAGGCCCCGACTTCTGTTAAGAGTTTAACCAGTAGCCTCTGACTACGTCCAGTCCCCTAACGGGACTGCTTCCGTGTAGTTTGTCCATTTCGCCGCGGTCTAGTGTTAGTGAAAAGGTAAAGCATTACCTGTTAACAGCTTGATGCGGGAAATACTTAAATGGACATGGCTGAGTGATGATGTTAGTCTAATGTTATTCGTCTTTTTGCCCACCTAAAATAGGTTGGCTTCCTACAAGCTGCTGAATCTGGCGCTAATTAACTGCTTTATATGCCTTAAATTCAAGAAACATAGTACTTAGTTCTTCCTTCTAAACCTCTTTTAGTTTTCATGAAAAAGTATGAAGTAACTGTATAAGTAAAACGTGTCAAAAAGGACAGTCAAGATTTCTTAATCCAAACATGAGAAATATTTTTAAGATAGTATCACTAATAATTGTCATTAACAAATGGGCTCTGCAGCAAAAACTGGAGTTCCAGCTGATCACTTGTATTTCCTATCATAGATTCCAACGCTGCTTATGTCATAGAATGGGGGGCTAAGGGGTGTAGAATTGTATGAGGGGCCAAAGGAGAACATGCTCTAGAGACAATAGCTGTAAATCTAGCCAATTTTCAAAAGTTTCCTATGGGGGTAGTTTTATATAAATTTAGTTTTTTCTCATAAAAAGTTTATTTAGTCACAGTGCTCAATAGAGGAGCTCTCTAGTAGAAGAGGATCCAAATTAAGAAACCATTTCTTTTAATCTTTCACATTTCTTACAGACTTGTTCTCTTGTGACTGTGTATCCATAACATGGACAGTTTTTTAAGTCCTGACATTCAGAAATTTTCCCTCAGTGCATAGAGGGAATGAGTATTAACTTGAAAAACTTAAATCCGGCAAGTCTTTCCATTTTAGCATAGGAGATTAGAGGGAGAGGAGAAGTGAAGCATCACTAGAAAAAAGGAGAATGTCAGTGTGGCACTTCTGGTCATGAAAAGTCATGAAAATGATAAACTAGAATGTCTCTGAGCATATTGGAAGGGTTAAGTGTGTACTGTCTGACATAAGCGTCTATTACCAGATTCCAGAAAGGAGCAAGATTGGTAGCCTGCCTATCCAGTATTTTTAAGAACTTGAGAGGAGAACTTTATAATAGTACCTATTCCTGTGTTTATGCATAAGTTTAAAATAACAGTATTCATTGATCACCTTAACCACTGTGAAAAGAAAAAAAAAATTTTTTTTTTTTTTTGAGACAGAGTCTCACTTTGTTGCGCAGGCTAGAGTGAGTGCCATGGCGTAAGCCTAGCTCACAGCAACCTCAAACTCCTGGGCTCAAGTAATCCTTCTGCCTCAGCCTCCTGAGTAGCTGGGACTACAGGCATGCACCACCATGCCCAGCTAATTTTTTCTATATTTATTAGTTGGTCAATTAATTTCTTTCTATTTATAGTAGAGACGGGTCTCGCTCTTGCTCAGGCTGGTTTCGAACTCCTGACCTCGAGCAATCTGCCCGCCTCGGCCTCCCAGAGTGCTAGGATTACAGGCGTGAGCCACCGCACCTGGCCACGAAAAAAAATATTTAAAAACATTAAAAAAGAAAAGAACAGTACTCTTGTGGCAAGTCTTGATTTGCTCCCTCTACCATTCAATAGCATCAAACCCTAATAGATGGTGAATAGTGACAGGCACTTGATTAATAGCACTTAAGATAGATTGACAAGATAGATTGACATCTTGTCACCTGAATACAGTCTAAATTTAAATTGTAGTATTTGCATTTGATTTTTCTTAACTATTGGTGGCCCCTAGAATTTATTCCAAGACAATGAAGTTAGGCAATGATGTTAAAATGCTTCAATAAAGAATGCTTTAAAGAGGAGAAAATATTGAGGGGAGGGGGACAGGAGAGTAAGGGTTTCCTATGGTGAACTTGGGTAGCTTCAATTCCAGAAGTGATTCCACTTCTACTTCCAGGGCTACTTTTGATACATTTTATTTCTTACTCCCTGAATCATACTTTTTTTTTTCCAGCACTTGGATTCAGCTCCTTCATTTCCAACATGGAAGAAACTTACAGTATGTACTTCTTGTTGCTTGTAGAAAATAAGTTAAATTATTTACATATAGTTTTATGTCTGTCAAGACTTCTAGTGTGCTGGGAAAAATTTAGGTTTCTCCCTGAACTGCTGAGGAGGAAAAGTCTATGTGATATTGATGTAGAGAAGTGCCCAAATTTGAAATAAGACACTTGAAATTTAAATAATTTAAGACATGAGAAGTCATAGAGCTTTGAAAATGCTGCAATTAGGTCACTTCTGTTAAACTATATTTTTATTAAAAGAGGCATTTTAACTCTTCAGGACTTCAACTTCTCCTTGTATGTATGACACAGGGATAGTTAGTTACCTCTCCTTTTTGTTTTGAGAGATAATATGGTATATGTAATAATGTTGATGTAGAAAGAGTTTTGGGGATAAGAGATCCTGGAAAGGATTCTTGTTTCTCAGGTGACCCAGGAACCTTAGATGGCCCAAGAAATCAAAGGGGAGCCAGCACCTAGAATCATACAAGCGTAGAATCAAAAGGGACTGGAAACATCATTTAACTTATTACAACAGAGAAATAGAGCCTGTATTAATTGGTTTGCCTAACATTACATAGTTAGAGACAGAATCAGAACCAGAGTCTTCTATATTGTGTATACCTAGTACTCTACTCGATACCGTAGGCACTATGATTTCTACTCTCTGACCAAATTTGAGGAACATCTGAGTTGACGTCTGTGGATGAAACTTGTCAACAGGGCCTACTTTGTCTCCTATTTTGGTGTTTTGTTCAAAATCTTGTTCCAGCGAACAAGTAAGTTCCAATGAGTAAGTTCCAACGAAAGGATATTTAAGCCTTGTTCTGCTATCTAGGAAGAGTCCAATAGAGATCTTTATCTCTAGTATATAGAAATTACATAGTAATAGTTTTTATTAAATAGCTAGAACACAATTGTCAAACCTTAGCATGCAGCAGAATCACTTGAGGGGCTTGTTAAAACACAGATTTCTGGATCCCACCTCCAGAGTTTTTTATTCAAAAGGTCTGGTATCTGATAAGTTGCATTTCTAACAAGTTCCCAGGTGATGTTGATGCTTTTGGAGGATCACACTTTGAGAGTCATTGATCTTCCTTAGAGCTCTCATATATTGGGGGGTATATGTATGTATGTGTATATTTTTTTTCTGGCAACTTACTACTCTCTATTAAATTAGAAAGGGACACATCCCCTTTCTGTCTCTCATTTCTGTTAGTTTTGTCAGCCATAGTTTTTTGCTCAAAAAAGTATTGCCTAGAAATGCACCATCTCGGGCCTCATTCTAGACCCACTAAATTAGAATCTGCATTTTATCACACTCCCTAAGTGATTCAATGCCTAGAGATTATGTTAAAGTTTGAGAAATGCTGCCTTGGAATATGCTTGACCTCTTTCCCAAATTGACCTGGAACTCCAACCTTAATCTGATAGACTCCTGGAGATCCCCATCTTCTCTCTTTAGGGTATGCTTCTTAGCTGATGATAACTTTTGTCAGGCCTCATTCCTGATTTCCATGAAGTTTCCTCTGTTTCTCACCATGGGTTTTGGCCCTACCCATGTTTGAAGAACAGCTGAGTCTATGCTTTTGGAGGAAGCTTGTCAACAAGACTCACTTTGTTTTCCGAAGTAAATTATATTCCCAGGAATCCAGACAAAAATTTTTAGAACAGTTTGATGGTATTTGTTACAACTTCACACATACATTTCAATGCAGCACTCTTAGGTATCTGTCCAAGAGAAATATTCATACTAGTGCATAAAGAACTCTATCTACTAGATTGTTAGTCACAGCATTGTATATAATAGTAAAAAACTGGAAACAACCTAAATGTCTACCAGTAAGGGAACTGATTAAGAATTTGGTACATCCATATGCAGCAGTGAAATATTCCTAATAAGTACTGACATGAAAGGAGCTCCAAGATACATTAAGTGAAAAGATAAAAAGCAAATCGCAAGATAGAAGATGCAGGAAATCCTGTTACATGCTGTAACATGGAAGAACCTCGAAGACATGCTAAGTGAAATAAGCCAATTCCAAAAAGACAAATACTCTATGATTTCACATATATGATATATCTAGAGCAAACTCATAAAGACAAAAAGTAGAATGGTTGTTGCCAGCAGCTGGGGGAGTGGGAAATGGAGAGTTGATGTTTAATGAGTACAGAGTTTCAGGTTTGCAAGATGAAAAATTTCTGGAGATTGGTTGCACAAAATGTGAATATACTCAACACTACTAAACTATACACTTAAAAATAATTAAAATGATAAATTTTATGTCTTTTATTACGATTTAAATTTTTTTTTTATTTCTGCATATTGTGGGGCTACAAATGTTTAGGTTATGTATGTTGCCCTTCCATCCCTCGTCCTCCCAATCAGAGCTTCATGTGTGTCCATCCCCCAGATGGTGTGCATCACACTCATTATGTATGTATATACCCAGCCCCTCCTCCCCCTCCCACTGACCAATAAGTGTTATTCT